TAATGACGTTGTCGGTCTCCTCGCCGTTCCTCGTACGTTCTCAGCTTCCTTCCCTCTTCCATCTCTCCTCCTCTTCCCGTCTCGGGAACATTTTCCGCTTATTTCTACCGCTGCCGCTCTCCTACGCGGACCGGATGCGCGCGTTCTTCTTCCCCGTTCGGCGTGTGTTCGCGCGCGCGCGCACGGCTGTTCTCCCGCCGACGGAGAGAGAGAGAGGGAGGAGGCGAGCGCAGCGGCGTGTGCAGCAACGCGAACGCGCTTACGACACGGCGGTTCCGTTGCATGCCGGAACGCGCGAGGTTAAAGGAACGCCTCGCGCGAACAGGTTCCCTTCCTTTTCCACGACGCCGAGTCCAGGGGAGTTAGTGAGTTGCATCAACAACACGAACGACACAGTCGGAAACTGACAATGGACCGTGTTCTCACCGCACAGCGTGTTTAACGCGCTGAATACGATGGCAGCGTGTCCGCAACGAACGGTACCGCGGGCGGAATCCAAGCGCCGGGATGAGAAAGTTATTTTTAAACGAGCGTTTCACGTCACGTGACTTATCGGGTCCCCCTAAGTAAGATTGTTATCCATAGTAATAAATTGGAGAAGGGGTTATTGATACGTGAGAAAAGAGGTACGAAAGTATACACGTGAATTTTGGTTTCTTCGCGCAGAAAAATACATACTGCATTCGAGTGAATGTTATTTGTTTCAAGTATTTCGTAAGTTCGTGTATTCGCAAGTACACGATAAATTCATTCGTAAGCATCGACTTGTTCGAAACAGATTTTGAAAACCTAGTAAGGTTTGGTATACTTCAATCGAGAATATTAAATTAGAACACTGAAGTGAAAACTTTTCGGTTAATTTTATTTATTCAATAATTAAATCAAATTTAACTTTTCATCGATTAAAGTTTGTAGTATTCTTGAGAGAGAGAGAACAAATTTTTCGCTCAACTAAATAACAATGAATTATTTAAAAATTCGTGATATGTATAGTTTAACGCTATTAACAATAAGGTATTTCTTGCTCGAGATAACCGTTATTTAAAAAAAAGAAAAATAAATTGAACAACCGTTTTTCATGTTTTTTTTTCTGCGTACTGGCGAAAAATCGAAAAAGTTGGAACGCGCAACTTTTACTTATATCGACCTAAATTGCTGGAGCATTTCTACTTTAATTCTCTCACCTCTCAGGAAAATTTCATTTTACATCGGCATTAGAAGTGGTTACAAGGAATCGAGTATTTCTGTCCTTATGGATGTAAGTCTTCATCAGTTCTCTACGGAGGATAATAATTGGACGAAGTAAATGGGTAACGATACCTCACGGGGAATTTTTCCCGAGTGCGCGCTTTTCATTACCCGCGAAGTGCTTTGATAAATCGCGCGCATTTACCATCAGTCCCCGTTCCGTTCGGGAGGGATGGGGGGGGGGGGAATGCGCGCTAATAAACAAAGCGCGCGCACGGCGTCGAACGTCGGCACGATTCTAAAATTGTGAACGTTCCCACGAAGCCAAGTAATTTGTACCGTTCGAGACGCCGATCGTTAAACTCTTTCGTGCGGCGATTTAGCAGGTTTCTTGCTGGCAGCTCTAACGGCCGGCTGGCAATCAGTCGAGCAAAGACTGCGACGACGTTTCGTGTACATTCGAATTAAACCGTCGCCATTATTAATTCGTGGATGTCATTGTCATTTCACGGTGAAGCAAGATATTACTTGACTTTCGTCGCATAAATTCGAGGACTCACGGAGCAAGCGGGAAAGTGCGGGACGAGAAAGAAGAGCGCGTGGAATGCCCGTATTTCGAGGGGAGCGTAAATTTCGAAAATTCCCGAATTCGGAATTTTTTAGCAAGTGAAAAAAAAATTACTGAAGGAAATCACGTAGAAACGCGGAAACGTGCAGACGCGCGGGGAATGTCTTCGAGTATTTCCAGAAACACGAAGACCACGGACTAAAGAGCCGCGCGCCGAACCGGACGACGGTAACGGCTGGCGAAACCAGCTGTCAAAGTGGTGCGACCCCCGTTTCTGTCAGCCCCACGAGGAAGCGAGCGAAACCGCGCTCGCGCGACCTCGTTCCGTTCGTTCAACCCCGAAATCGTTATCTCCACCGGGCCGAAATTTTTTCTCACGCCCGGCTCGCGTAGTGTTACGACTCGAATCGATCCGAGGTTGGCGGTAGATATCCGCGTTGTCAACGAGTCAGGTGCTAGATAAAGGCGAACGGGCGAAGGAGCAAGAGCTCAGAGGCAGAGCTCGCGCCTAAGCGACTCGCACACGCAAGGGTGTGTGTGTGTGTACATGTCGGTGTGGCAAAACCACAAGGCACCGCACAGAGCGCGGACGTAGGACAGTGCATTTAGGGTCGATGCCCTCCGTGCTCGTCGATGTTCGGTGCTCTACGTATTTTCTCCTTATCTCTTTCTTTCTCTCTTTCTCCCCACCGTGCGCTTTCCGCCGCCTATCCTCTCGCCCGCCTCGTCCCCCCTTCCCCCGGGCTCGCTCTATTCCTACGGCGAGATACTTGTTGGACGGTCCTTAGAGGCTCCGCGTGCCTCTCGCCCGATGATCGAGAGGGCGAAGGATCCCCGTGATTCGCTCTTGTTGTCCTGGGAAAAAAAAAGATGAGAAAGAGAGACGCGACCCCTCCCCTCCTTCCTCCCCCCTCTCTCTATCTGTTTCTCTCGAACCGAGATGCTCGGGCGGCACGCGCGATTATCCTCCTTATTAAATTAAACGCGGCTAATTCCAAGGGCAGACTGATAAACGGCGTATTTGCTTAATGACGTAGAAACAGGTAATTGCAATCGGCGTTCGAACAGTTTGTCCCAGGCGTCGTCGGCAGCGGAGTAGCAATCTCTGGGAATCTCGATCGCTTACGGAAGCGATTACGATTCGATCGTCTCCCAGCTTTTTTGCCGCGCGCCCGGCAGCCGGCTTTAATTGCGAGTGGAGGAAGAGCGCCGCGCGCCGTTATTATTTTCATTCCGCCCGTCACTTTTCGAAATCGTTCGGGGAGGACGAGTCGCGAAACGACGCCACGCGCGTCCCTCATTTCGCGATCCGAAGGAATGTCATTTTTGCCGTCCGCATGAAACGTGACCTTGCCCAGGAACCATACGCTGTTATTATCCATTTTATTAAATTAAACGAGAGAGAAAGAGAGAGAAGATAATGAACGACGTGACTTCGCAATTAATAGCCTAACTCTATAATGTGTTTAATATCACTCGTAAAAAGCGATAAATTGTCTCTCAAGTGTAATTTAATACAATACACGCGCGCGTGAGCGCGCACACGTACATATGTGCGCACATACATGCGCGTGTTTGAACGTGCGAGATATCGAGAAATAATATACACGCTGTACGTACGCTCGGCCGTTCAATTATCTCGATAATTTGGGGACACGAAAATCCAATGCGACAATTGTTTGCGGCACATTAATGCAAATATTTCCGCTTTTCATCACGGTGGCTAGACACCAATACGGATGCGCGCGTTATTTAGCTAATTACTATTATACAGAAAAAATTTCAGTTTACGTAACTAAATAAGCACCGGACTAAAATTTATTGGCGAAAAAAAAAAATGGTACCTCTGTTACTGTTTCTGCAATCGAGTTTTCGGTCTAGTATCTATTTTTTTCCCAAGCAATGGAATAGCGATAGTTGCAAAAGATTGTTAATAGATTTCGATATTCTGGGTGAAACTCCGCGTCTAAAGAGTTCATTCGGCTATATTACGTGCCCAGGTATGGCAGCGATTAACTTTTCCCATTTTCCCTTTTATTTAAAAACATCCCACTTTTCCTCACTTTTAAGAAGAAAACTCGCTTTTCTCACATTTTGCTTACTCTATTTGCTGAACTGTTAAGAAACTTGATCACGAGAACTCACGTTCAGTATCAGGCTTCTTTAAAGATGAAACGAAAGATTCAATGAAAATAGTAACAATAGTTCCGACGATACATTGTTCATAAAATGAAGAAGTGATTTTATTTTTAAGCTGTTTTTAGCAGATTTGCCAGAAAAATAATGACCGTTACGAACACCTGACTGTGTTTTCTTTCAATTGTGTAGTGGGATCGATTGTCTATGTTTGTCCACCAAGCCGAAACGAGAGTTCTTAACAAACGCCAACCCAAGAAAATAGGCAATGGTCGGCAGGAGCGCACCTGACTATGTTTTCTTTAAATTACGCAATGGAATCGTTTGTCCACGATTTATCGACATTTGTCCGTCCACAATTTTTGTTTGTCTACTAAGTCAGAATGAATTGCTTACAAATGAAACCAAGAAAACAGACAATGATCGTCAGGAGCACACCTGACTGTGTCTTCTTGAAATCGAAGATTATTGTATATCATTGAATATTATTTCCCGAACAATATTCTTAAAAATTAACTGACTAGCTTTCAACGGAAAATCCCGGTAATTTATTATCTTAGTTCGTTAAGTGCGTTTGAAAAGACACATTTTCTCCTTCAGACCGCCTATCAATGCGGAGAGAACGACAGTGGGCGACGATAAGACGCGAGAAATCCTAATAAACCGGGAGACAAGAGACGACGCGGTTGCGCCAAGTCGGGAACGGCACGTTCTAAGGATCGATGAACGATTGTTCCTTTAATACGCGGTGCTCCACAGGTTGCAGTAGCGTGTATTCTTCGCACACACTTCTCTCTCTCTCTCTCTCTTTCTCTATTTCTCTCTCTCGACCCCATCTCGATTCTAATCGAGTGTGCTTCGCTCTTGATATCGAATTATCCCGCCGCACGGTCGTTGAAAATCACGCGCTCGTAGTTGCTTCCAGCGAACTTTTTGCACCACTGGATGGTGCTACAACGAACGATTTCAAGAAGGATCGCGTTAAACACGCAGTTATGAATTCCACTTGAGCGTCCGCTTCGCTAAGGCACTCTCGGCGAATCACACGACTCGACTGCATCTCGTCTCAATCAAAGTAACATTCGCTTTCTTCTTCCTTTTGTTGCAGTGATCTCGAGAAGGATCTGAGCCTGTCTGAGGACAGCGAGGATGAGGCGGATAAGGTAATCCCTTTCTGAATTTTTTATCGCTATCGAAAGCTGTTATTACGCACTCGATTGTTAAGCTAGACAGAGTATAAATGTTATCGGGTGTATCATCGGGTATTATCGGGCGGCTGTGCAAAAGTCTGTTGTCTCTCGATTGTATGAAAGTAGCGGGGCAAAAACTTGCGGAAAGGAGAGACCGAAACTTTCGCACGCACTTGACAACTATAACAAGACGGCGAAGTCTTGAATTCGAAATTACCGTTCCGAGAGAGGTAAGAATCAAACGATAATTTGCACTCTCTCGTCTCTTCGAGAGTTCGTCCTCCGTTTTGTTTCTTGCTGACATACCGCAGAAACGCTTTCGTAAATCAATACGATCGAGCCGCGTCCGTGGAAAAACTGAGCGCTCACCGAGGCAAGAAAGATACCGTTCCACTTTGTTTCACGGCGAAATTACTGATAGCGGTCTCTCTCCTTCTTGTTCTCAGGAAATATCGACGAGAGCGGCGAGAGAAACCAGGAGTCCGGAGCTTTCGGTCAAGTAAGTGATTGATTTGCATTACCCGCGTCGTCACGCGAACCTATCCCCCTCCCCCTCTCTCTCTCTCTCTCTCTCTCTCTCTCTGTGCTATCTTCTTTATTTAGAATTAACATTAACGATTCTGATATCGAAACTCTCTAGATTTCTTGCTGTGAAATCTCCCCTCGAAAAATGGAGCCAAGTAAATTCGGATTGTAGTGACTTTTCACTCTTATCGAGCGAATTCTTCTACTCTGTGACTCGAAGTGAATATTTTCGCTCTGTGTTACGGAGTGAAGTTCCACTCGAAAATTGGAGCGACTACCGAATCCACTCCAGTTGGGGTGATTTTTCTTTCACTCCGCATCGTGGATATTTTCGTACCGAATCTAACCTGACGTAATCTAATAGCGTATGTTATAAGCAAGAAAGTGATCGTGCCTTGTTGTAACCGTCTTATAATTGTTGCGTCTCTTTGTTTAGTTCGCAATTTTAATTCACAATTTATTATACGGAACATATATTTGAATAAAAATACTTAGTAATAAAAATACTTAGTAAGCAAAAGTAATAAAAGAAACTGCCCCAACTCTCTTTTAAATATTATTAATAATATTTTACAAACTTTGCTAATTTACATAATAATATTATATTTCTATAATATAAGTAGGATGGAGAGGGGGGAGGTGATCTGTAGGTTTTCGGGACTGTAAACAGTACGAAATTTATTTATCGATCAAGGCGAAATGGAGTGATGCGAATTACAGCAGACTTAAGATCCCGAAGTTTTGAATTCAAATCGAGTTAATGGCACACACCAGCAAATTTTTCAAATATGATATAAATAGAATCAATTAAATATAATTGAGAAGATTTTGGGACAAAGATTTTGGGACAAAGATTTTGGGACATTAACGACACTTTAAGAACAGCGCAATAAAAAACGAATGCTTTACGTATTGAAGAATTAGAAGAAATGAGGATTCGCTCCAATCGAGTTAAACATTCCAACCGAAACATTCGCCCCACAGTTGGAGTGCAACATTTACTCTTGTGAAAAATGAGTTATCACTTCATTCCGAGTGACAATATTTTCATTATTGCCCGGAGTGAATTCTCACTCGTTTGGAGTGTAGTTTCACTCCAGGAAATTTAGAGAGTACAATGCGATTATCAACACTAACGATCACCCAAGCGATCAAGAGAATGAGATCAAGAGAAAGATCTAATCTCAAGGAATCTCTAAATCTCTTATTATTATTATTATTATTATTATTATTATTATTATTATTATTATTACAACTATTACTATTATTATTATTATTATTATTATTTGTTTGCAGATTACTTAAAATTCCATCCCGAATCCCGACGCCGGAATTGGCCTTTGCAGTGGCTTTTATCCTTTGATTTATGTTCTTATAGACTAGCAACGCCGGTGATGCTGGCGATGGCACCGGCGCCGCCGCCTGTGGCGCCCATGTCGCCGATGGGTATATCACCCATGCGTATGTCACCGCCACAGACGCTTAGTCCGCACCGGTACCTGTCGCCGCCGAAGCAGGTAACGGCGACGCCGATTCCGGAAGCAGTGCTGTCCTCCCCAGCGGCGGATCCTCCGCCGCCCAAATGCTCGCCACCGGCGACTCTGCCGAGCCACCATCAGAGGCCACCCAGTCCGCCCGGTCAGGCGCCACCGAGTTCCGGAAGCGCCAGCTCGAGCTCAGACTCTAGCGGGGACTCCGGCTCGGACAGTAGCGACGATTCCGAGGATGACGATGACAGGTCGGCGGCACAGCCTACCAAGGGGCCGTCGACGCCGCCGTCGGTGTCGCCCAAGTTGGATAATCTCGTGGAGGAACCTCCGCCCGCCATGGAGGAGTCGAAGCGCCGTTGGGACCTCAGTTCCTTCTTCAACAAGACTGCGGCGGTGCAGCATGGCGAGCAGAATCCTGAGACCAAACCTGTTCAGGTAAGGCTGCCACCCAGCTACTTAAGTCACCTTTCATCTCCTCTCATCGTAGACTCCGCTTTAAGCGGGATCCAGCGAGGTTGCGGCTCTGAGAGGTAGAGAACGCCGTGATCCCCTCGAGACGACGAAAGCGTCTCTGGAAGGTCACGGGGGGATATTGGGAGTCTCTTCCGAAAATTCGCCTTCAACCTCTCATCTTTCTTCCTTCGCAGGACAACGCGAGGCGAGAAGGCACTCCCGAGGCAGCGACGAAGGAGACCAGGCCGCACCGAGAACAGCCCCACGACTGGAAACTAGACGAGGCCTTAAAGAGAACTCACAACGCGACGATAATAAGTCTGCTGAGCGACAGCGACCACCAGTCCGATCAGGGCAAGAGTCAGCTGGCCGAAGGCAATCGCTCGCAGACGGAGAAAACGACGAAGGTCGCCGATAACAAGAAACGCGGCCGGCCCAGGAAGTCCATTAAGAGTCCGAAGCGCAACGAGCGCACGCCCGATGAGAACCTGAAGGGCGGCAAGTCGCGTAGCAGGACGAGAGTTGTCAACAACAATAACAGTAACAACAACAACAACAACTCGGTGAAGAAGAAGCAGCCCAAGTCGAAGGCGACGTTAGCCACCAGCGACGATAACAGCGACAGCGATTCGAGATCACAGGGTGTGTCCAGTGGCGGCTCCATCAGCGATCATCAGACAACCAACAACGTGCCGGCGGTCGTGGTGGCATCGAAGAGAAGCAGACTGAGCGTGTCGTCCAGCGACGAGGACAGCGCGTCCAACAGGAAAAACAATAGTGCCTCCGAGAACGAGTCGGCGCGATGGAGAGGGGTCGCCATCAAGAGGAACAACAAGCTGACGGATTCGCCGAAGAAGCAAGACAAGAGGAAGAGCTCGACTAAGGCCAAGCCGAGGAGACCAAGGTCACGGATGAACAACGGTGACTCGGATTCCGAGAGTGGGTCCGAGCTGTCGAGGAGTAACCGCATCCAGGTTGCTAGGTAAGTTTTTTCCCACTCATATTTTATGTCTCTCAACGCGATAGCCGTCGGATTTTCTTTCTTCACGCGAGATCGCGAATAAGATGAAGTAAAAGTCGCGGATATATAACATTATTAAATCATGCACGAAAAACATGAACGTATTATATACAATAGAGTGCCACCCAGGCCTCGAGCGCCTCTCACCAGGGCGACGTCGGTGGATAACTCAGACAGCGACAACGGCCATGCGCCCAAGCTGCAGGAGGAGGACGCCGGCAACGTGCAGGACAAGAAGAAGAGCGATACGCTGCGTAAACTCTTCTCGTCGTCGAAGGGCGGCGGTAAGGGCGGCGGTAAGGGTGGGAAGGGTGGCAAGGGCGGCGGTAAATGCGGTATCTACGTGGAGGAGTACACCAGCTCGATGAACACACCGACCGGCGGTGACAGCCCGTACAAGAGGCCGTCGTCGCGCACGTCGTCCGGCAGCGCCGCACACTCGTTCCCGCCGCTCACATACGGCGTGAACGGTGTGCCGCGCTTGATATGCAAAATCGATCTCAACAAGCTACCGCACAATTGCGTGTCGCAATTGTCGAGGGGGCAGGAGCTCAGGCAGCGCACTGAACTTCCCGATACCAGGCCGTCCTCGAGGCAGGCTTCCAATCTGGCGGCCCAGGCGAGGCCGCCCACACCGGAGGAGGGTGAGATCGTGGACGCGTCGCCGTCCCAGCAGGTCATCCATCACACCGACGGTCTGCTGGGCGACGGTGATGTCAGGACTCGTACTGTGATCACGGCCGAGCTAATGTCGTCGGACTCGAAGAGCGGCGGCAGCGCCATGCTCGGTGGTGCTGCTGGCGGCGGTGCTGCTGTCGGTGGTAGTGGTGCTAGTGGTGCCAGTATTGGTGGTAACGCGCTCAAGAGAAAACATAGTCCGAGTTGTGGTTCGATGGCGAGTTTAAGTACTGTGTGTTTGGACGCGAAAGCGAAGGGCTCGGTCGAGCGTGACAGGAAGAGGAGAAAAAGGGAACACCCGGAAAAGGACGGCCTGCCGTCTAGATCTTCGTCGAGTCAGGTATGGATTCCGGCGAGAGTGTGCGGCCGAAGTGCTTGCATTCCACGTTTCCCTGATGCGTCTCGTTGCTGAGCTTTTCGCTCATGTATCTCAGTTGGGATTTTTATCTTAACACTTAGACTGCCCGGCTAGTTGTTGTTTCGAGCGTAAAGCCCAAAATCGCGAAATCGTGTGTGCAGAATCGGAACGCAAAAGAAAAACCGTGTAATCAATGAAAAAAATAATGGTATTTCTTTTTATGCTACCATAAGTATTCTTAATATATAATAATAGGTGTGCATGATACACTGATATAGTAACAACCGATTAACTTAATATACCGATACAATAACACGGATTATCATACACGGACAATGATACATGGATTACTTTTCGAAATACCATGGGAAATATATTAAAAAGTTTGATCATTTTATATAATAGATGCCACTCAACAATGAAAATTCAATACACGTATATAATGCTTATATCGTTGAATAGGAAATTATAATCATGTTAACGTTACTGATAGTTGGTGTTTACTGGGATATAATGTTAATTTTTTAAAGTTTTTTGTTACATTAGTATACATTGTACAAATGATATTTTGTCTTCATTTAATATCTATAAATAGTTCATAAAATGATTCCGTTATTAAAACCAATGTGAATAACGTCCAAGTGTTAAATAATTTCATCGCTACTAATTACGACGGAAATAGTAGTAGTAAGTCAATTTTGCGAGGTCTGACGTGATTATTGCTTAACAGAGTGATATTCAGCCGACGAATCACGAAAGGGACGAGAAACTAAACACGGCCTTGCTACCACCACCGCCGCGACCGCAGCGCATCTACTATTCTTACTTCAACACGCATAATGATGTCTTGGAGGACCAGGAGAGGTAAGGCTTCTTTATATTTTAAAAGGATTTTCTAGTGTAGAACTTGTGAACTCTCGAACATTTATCTTTTCTTCTTGAAGAGTCAATTCTTCAAAACATACCTCTAAAATATCTATTCAAAATTAGAAGAATGGTGAAGTTATATTCTTTTCTGGTTTTAGATATACAAGATATAAACCTTTGGGTGTCTTCAGGCCGGGTTTTCTGAACAAGTAAAATTTCCATTTTTTATTATTGTTAAAAATAATTTTAATCACACTTGAAATATTGATTTATGTATCATATATTTTTTATTTGTCTAGAAAAAAGAATTTAAATGCTAGATAATTTGTATATTTTACAAGAAAAAAAAAATATTTCATAAAATCTACAAATTGTCACGCATTTAAATTCCTTTTTAAACAAACAAAAAAATATATGATGTATAAATCAATGTCTCAGATGTTTTAAAGTTGAATTATTTTTCACAATGTGAAGAAATTCTAAAAACACTGTACTTTTGGACGCTCTAGTCCAGAAAACCCCCAATTAGGACGTTTGGTATAGGGGCGCTTATTGTAGATTGGTTTTAACCTATATTCAAAAATTGGCAAATGTAGTCTGGGTTGCGAGTATTCTTGCTACCGTGATAGAATGCACCATTTATATCTCTTCTAGGGACCAGAACCAGTACCTGACCGAAGCTAAACGACTAAAGCACAGCGCCGACGAGGAGTGCGAGCTTACGGCCCAGGGCATGTTATACCTGGAGGCTGTTCTATACTTCCTGCTGACTGGCCACGCCATGGAGTCGGACCCTGTCACAGAAAGAGCGTCCTTCACCATGTACAAGGATACTCTTAGTCTCATTAAGTGAGTACATCTCCAATTAAGCGCACAGAGAGGTGGAGGAGGAGGAGGAGAGTGTAATTAAACTGATCTTCATCTGCGATTTTTCCTCCGTCCCGCAGATACATCTCGTCGAAATTCAAGAGCCAGCCGAACGACTCATCCGAGAACAGTATACACAACAAGTTGGCCATCCTGAGGTGAGTACGTACCCTCTTTCTCGAGGGTTCTCCGAATTTGCGCCGGTAACAACACCACCACCGGCGGCACTCGCGTTTCTCAACAGGAGTCACGGATCCTACTCGTTTCTTTTTCAGTCTCTGGTGCCAGTCCCTCATATACTTGAAGCTCTTCAAGATGCGCAAACAAGACCTGAAGGAGTACCAAAAGATAATCAACGAGTACCATCAAAAGGTGAGCGAACACGTTGCTAATTACACGGGGATTCGCGAACGACTACCGCGGCGAAGATCAAAGCGAGTCTTCATTGCACGCGCGCGCGCGCACGGTCACGATTATTTCCTTCGCGGTTTTTCGTGTATTCGTCCGCGTAGTCGACGAAAAATTGCTTACGTTGTGCTACTTTCTGCTTCTGCCAGGCGTCGCAATCGGCCCAGACGCCGCAGGCAATGCAGCAAGAGGGACAGGCGACCCCTTCCTTGTCGCCCACACCATCGCCTGCGGGTTCCGTAGGGTCCGTCGGCAGCCAGAGTTCTGGTTACAGTAGCGGTGAACTGGTGAACCGAGGTGCTGCGAACCAGAATCCCATCCCACCGGTCGTACCGCCAGTCCCATTTATCAGCGTGCCACTGGCCGTTCACAACGCGATGGCGAAGCAGAGTCACCAGTTCAGCTTCCTGATAAACTGTCACGACCTGTGGGACCAGGCAAATGCTATGGTTACAGATAATCATAGGGGTAAGCGTGTATGACTGTGTATGCGTATATGTAGAGATGTTGTGATACTACTGATACAATACTAGTATCGATATTTTTCTTTTAACACCGGGTACTTTTATTTCGATTCCTTTCGAGATCTTTTCATTTAACTTTTTACTCGGTCCATCTTCAAGGTGTCGTGCGATTTTGCTTCATGAAAATTAGTGCAACATGCAACTTACGTTTTAAATCTAGCGTGGGCTCGGGCTTTAAAACGTGAAGCTCGCGTGAGTGAATTATTTACTCGTGAGTGTCACAGGGCACTCGTACATCGTTCGCAATTAGCGGAATAATTAAACGTTAATGGTGCGGTTACACAGGTGGGAATGTTGTGATACTGTTGATATAATACTGTGTATCAATATTTCTCTTTTAATATCGGAAACTTTTCGTCGATATTTTCTTTTGAATATTCGTACCCACATCAGTTATTACTTTGTTTTAATGTTTTTTCTTTTGACATATTTTAATTTTTTATTCAGTCGATCTTCAAGACATCATGTATTTTTGCTTCATGAAGATTAGTGTAACATGCAACTTACGTTTTAAACTTTATCGTTATCTTTCCTCATGATTTTTGTTATATTAATTTTGTTTATTAATTTTATTGATTGCTGAAGTAAAAGAGGAAAACGTCCGAACATTTTTACAAGTGTATGAAGTCGATCAGGAGTGTCATTCTGTGCACATATTGTTCTATTTGTATGTATGCCACGATAATATTTAGCATGCGATTTCTCACTTCTGACATTATCAAACGAAAACAGTCAACAGCGAAAACACAGGAGCCTTAACACATCCTTTTCAAGGTTTCTAGATAATAAAACGTAGAAAGTCTAGCGCAGAAGATAGAAGTATCTTTATACCATAGTAAGATTAATACGCGTAAACGTATGAAACCCTTAAAAGTAGCTTACGAAGCAAATATTCTCCCGATCTTGATATTTCCTCTAATTTTAAGTTTCATCAAGTTTTAATACCAGGTTGGTATCGACATTTTTGTTCTGATACTAATATCACTAATGACATCGATACTCTTGATTAGGTATCCGTTTAAATTTTAATATCGATACTTCGTTGGTATCGCAACATCTTTATGTGCGGAGACACGTGAAAAAGCACGCGATGGATTCAGTTGAGAACATAGATCATCTCTCTCGCTGGTGCTTTCAGATTTCTTTATCGAGCTGGACGAGAAGCTGGGACCCCTAACGCTGAAGAGCTCGTTGCGCGATCTTGTGCGTTACGTTCAAGCCGGCATAAAGAAGTTACGAGCTCTCTGACCACAGTGGCACAGCCCCCGACCACCCACCCCGAACTACATTACCTCCCTTCCGCAGAACATGGTTACTTACCCGACCATGTTCACGTAGTTGCGCGACGTTACGACGACGATCATCATCCTCGGCAACGAACAATCGACCGACCGGACGAAGGATACGCGCGAGAAGGAGTTGACACGGTGATGTAGCGAAGTCACGGACTGTTTTCTCTGAGAGAAGCGTGGTCTCAGGGGTGCGACACGAATCGATTAATCGACGGGTCACCACAGACGAAGAAGCGGAGCAGGCGGCAGTAAATGAAGCAATTCGTAAAGTCTTTCTCTTAGGCGGGCGATTCGAATGACACGTCGGGGCATTTTTGAGATAAATTTAGCATCAAGTTATATTAGTCAATTGCGAAGCGCGTGCCTGAAGGGGCCGTGAGGAGGCGATGATGGGGAGGAAGGGAGGGAGCGGCTGGCGGAATTCGCTGATCTTATCCACGGTGCATAGAACGTACGAATGAACCTCGTGCACTTTGTTTAGAGCACGTGTTACTTACTCTCGAGGCAGCAAAGAACCGTCGGCATCCATCCGACCAACCGATCCCACACCACCTCCTCCACGAGGCGGAGCGAGATATCGAGGCAAATGCGAGCGATGCGCGAGGATGCGCGTTAGGTTATAGACACGAGCTATACCGATGATTTGTCTCTATTTTTATGAAATGTCCGCTTTTGTAAGTTAACCGCAGTAGATATCGACGCGAGGCGAAAAACGAAGTTGAGCGTGAAGAAGAAAGAGGGGGAGAAATAGGGTATGGGGAGGGAGGGAGGACCGAGAGGGAGCGTGAGGGTGAAGTGAAGGAATCACGAAGGGGTAGTAGAAGTGCCACTGACGCCCGTGTGTTCTCGCTTCACGGTGCGCCACAGCCGACGTTACCTGAAGCATGAGTCTCGTTTCGACGATTCGAGTGCGATGAATACGCAAAAAAATATACATATTTAATATATTATATATTATAGTTTATTATCTATATAAATATATACATAGTTATATAAATATATAAAGATAAGAATATATTTGATGATGATGAGATGAAGGGGGAGGGGGGGAGGGTAGTTCATCCCGCGCGCCGGCGCCGCGTTTCAGTAATACGGGGAACAGACGAAGTTGTATTCGCGAGCAAATACTACTGCGAGTAAGAAAGGAGGCTACGAGGAGGAGAAAGGGCGACAGAGGGGGACGGGCAGTTAGAGAAAGAGAGTGCGAAGAGTTATGCAGCGAGCAACAAGATCAACACACACAGAGATTGAGCGACGCACCGTAGTTGTTACATCTCTAAACGTTTGCGTGCGAAGGACACGGCTCTTTTTTTTCATTTTTTTTCTTTTTTCTTTTTTTTTTTTTTTTCCTTTGTAGATAGACCACCAGGGGAAGTAATTTTTAGAGACTAGAGTAATTAATATTGCAGCAAAGGAAAAGCAGTTACAGACGCAACCAAGTACATATTATTTACATTATCTAGAGTTAACCGGGGAAATAAGTAGAGGTTCTAGTGATGAGACGTAAGGAAAAAAAAATACATAAATAAAACACAGACATAGAGCATACATGTATACATAGGATGATTTAACGAAACGGAAGCGTGGGAAGAATGAAAAGTGAGAGAAACGCTGGAGACGAGAGAGTAAGGGAGAAAGAATGAGTGAGAGGGAGAGGGAGAGAGAGAGAGAGAGAGAGAGAGAGAGAGAGAGAGAGAGAAGAGCGTGTCGGGAGTTGGATGCGCAGACGTGAGATGATAGGAAGCGCGTAACGGATACAGCAAGTTGCTCATGTGTATATTTTTGTAAATAGGTATTTGTGAGTGCCGCCGTCTTGAGGGCGGTCCGCCGTACAGTTATACCTTACGGTGGACGGGCCCGCCCCAATTTTTGCTACCACAGATCTTATCGGGAATCAGGAAATGTCTGATAAGAGGTTACACGCGAAGGAAAGAGTGAGGGAGAGGGGAAACTGATAGAACGGATAGGGGAATGTAACAGAGACGGACACACAACGAGATGCGTCCGCTGATGGATATGGATTCGTTTCGGCTGTTTTCTCCGAAGAGACTGGGAATATTCTCTCTCCGCGCTTTGTTCCGTTGTCACGTGCACATATTTCGCGTTACCCTCGGCCGCCGCTTTTGATCTGTCCCCCGTTCTTAAGATCGCTTCTAGATGTTAACGACCGGTAAACGCGCGTCCGGGGATTCTGGACGAACCACGGCGGCTCCATCGTTCGACCTTTCGCAAGTCGGACTCACCTCGTCTTTCGAACGCGCATCACTTTTCCCACGTGCTCGGTCGGCGAAAACGGAAGTGGAATCACGGTGTCCAGTGGGCGGAAATGGGTGTGATCGGGTGCGATTTACTTTTCTCGATAGAAAACGTCGAATTTGTCGATCGGCGAAACTTTCTCGACCCCAGTCGAATCCGACGACGAGTCTCTTTGCTCGATGATGCGCGATGATTCTTGAAAATTTCACGCGCAAATCCAAGGGGGAGGGGGGTCCCCGGGATCCTCGTCGATCCAAGAGACCGATCGGAGAACGCGATTGCGCGATAGCTTCACATATCCGACTCGAGTTTGACTCTTTTGGCAAGGTGGACAAAGCGTCGTCCGATTAGGTCGGAGGACGATTCGAGGAACGATTTCTCCGAGAGCGTAGGACCAATTACCGTTCGTACAGCTGCTACGACAAATACACACATACACGCATCGTACTGTCCCGTTTGCTGACACCGTTCAATTGCAGGTTGAGCGAGCGAGAGAGAGAGAGAGAGAGAGAGAGAGAGAGAGAGAGAGAGATGAGAAAAGAGAAGAAAATGCAAGCGGGCGCAAGCGGATTGGCGGGATGACGACGGCCCATATAGTTACTAAGCGCGGTCCAATGGTTCACGGGATACAATTTTATATTTCGCGAGTGCTAAAGGATAAAAAGGGGGGGAGAGGGGAAGCGAGAGCGAGCGAGACAGAGAGGGTAAAGTAAAAAAAAAATTAAAAAATGAGAAAAAGAGAAGATATCTATTAAGGAGCTTCGATATTTTCGAGACACTATTTATAGCAGATACATATATCAGGCCCCTTTTCCCGCCAGGCCGCGCAGATCCGCGGTGATCGGAAAACGGAATTCGAAAACTCCAAATTACAAATTCACGAAGTTTATCGAGAAAAGGAGATACACAGCGTGCGTGGAGATATTCTGTTGCGATCGAGAGGAACGATGAGTGGATGAGGATCAACGATCGTTGTACATAGTTAGGATTTCTCCTTCCTTTTCCGTTGATATACTTTCGTTTTTGTTTTGTTCGTCGGTGATACGGCATAGAGCGTCTTCTTTCGAGCTAATCTATGTTCCTGTACAACCTCCAAAGATAAAAAAAAAAGAAGAAAGCGAGAAGGGTAATACTGCTGGTGGTGCGCGGGTCTTGATCAGGAAGCGCGCGCGTTCGCTCTTTCCGATTCATTTCTCGCATCTAGTTTTGTTTTCTTGTCTGTTGCTTCTTTTTTTTTACAAGAAAAAAAAACCCGTCGCAGGTGATTCGCAGCGCGAGAAGTTGACGTTCCCGCGCGACTCACCTCGCTATATAATATTAATCAGGTTATTACTGATGTCGTTACTGTTATTGTTATATCAGTGATGATATTATTCAAATAAGAAAATGATAGCGGTTACAATCGGTAGTAATAATATTAACGATAATAATAATAATAATAATAATAATAATAGTAATAATAATAAACTAAGAATATATAATAATACTTATATTAATAATAATAATAATAATAACAGTAACGATGTTGCTATTCGTATATTGGTGAGAGAATCCGCATATACAAGAGAGGATGCTTCCGCTCAGTATGCGGCTACAGTTTGTAACAATACTTATTGCGTTACGGATAGTAACTATATCGTTATTGTTTCCCTTACGATTTTTTTTTGCGAATGTATTTATGTGAGTGAGAGAATGCAAAAGAGAGAGAGAGAGAGAGAGAGAGAGAGAGAGAGAGAGAGAGAGANAAGCGACACGTGGAGGAGAAAAGCGACGAAACCGTTGGCGTACGTCAGGTGCCTCAGACACCGTGGCTCGTGCTGACGGGCGCAATGCGATTTCATAGCAAGAATAGACGACGAGAGAGGGAAACAGGCAAAGAACAGACGAAATAGATAACGCATACAAGATACAATACTTTCAAGCGAGAACCTCTCTTCTCGCGTACACCACCCATTTGAATCCGTGAATGTCGTCTTCGAACGAGATCGAACGGGCGCAGAAAACGCGTTTCTCCATCTCTCTTCCCTGTCGAGCATCGAGCCCGGCTCTCGGCTGTCGTACGTCACACGAATCATATGTTATTCCTACTATCGAACCATGCATGCGAGGTGCGAGTTTACAAGCGAGGGCGGCGAAAACACGGTTGCGTGACGGATATGTCGATACGTGCATCTCATATATAAGACCTCGGGGGGTG